TTCGACACTTGAAAACACTTGAGAGTTCTGTGAAATTACTGTCCATCGATTAAACTGCCAAAACATAGGTAGTAAGTTGGGTCAACTTTACAATCCCCTGCTCCCCACTGCTTCTTCGATCTGTATTGAGGTCCTCAACAACTGTGCTTAAACGAATTTAATTACGGTCTGGATTTGCTGGAGAACTTTAAAGCTTATATGGAAAAATGTATCGGATACGGAAATTCATATGCTTGTAGAACAACTTAGTTCAAGACAGCAGATCAATTCAACTTATGTGCTTAAAGTATGCTGTAGAGTGCTGTAAAATCTCGACCATACACGGCGGTATTGACAAAACAGCTTTGGTCGAATCCTAATGAATGTGGGCGTCTTAGTGGAATACCTATATAAAGAAAAAGATAAGTAGGGTATAGAACTACTTCTGCCTAAGCGCCCATTTTGGGCATATAAAGCAGACAACATCAAATAAATCCATGATTTCGGCGTTAACAGGTTAATTATGCGTTTGGTACGATACTTTAGCTCAAATGCTACCAAACGAAGTCAATAAGAACGCGTGATATGAATGTTTGCACCCAATATTCTCAAATAGAAATGAAGCGCTCCGACCGAATCAATCTTTATCTTCATCCGACAGGCCGAAGTGAATTCATTGGCGTTTCAATGGCGTTTCAATGTGTTAGGCCGATTTTAGAATCCGTATGCCGAGTTTGGCGTCAAGAAGCAATATTAGACTTTTAACAATATTTAACAATTTGTTTCTCTTTATAAATTATTACGGTGCGTACGGAAAGGTAAATCAATTTGGAAGCCATCAGTAATAATAACATTCCGTTTGGTGCTAAACTACGCTAGATTAAGAACGACTAAGTGCGGGTTGTGCTTAACAGACCGGAAATGGGGTAGTTAACCCTATTAGTAATTTCCATTTAGATCGACTACCTTATTTGCTTATCCTTGACAGATACGTGTATTTCGTCTACAATGTGCACACCTCTTCAGTGTCTTGTACTAATACTCGACTGAAAAAACCTCTCCTCTAGAAGCAGTTGCTCCACTGCTTAGGAGTCGTACACTAATTACAATTCTTCATCAGTGTCATTCCCACTAAAGAACTTATCAAAACCTAACCCCCTTAAGGTAAAAAAAAAATCAAGACAACGGGTATAAAAATGAAACTACAATGTGTAGTCGAAATCAGGCTTCCGGAAATCTAATTTCTCTTCGTCTCGTCAAGAGCAACACAAGGCACTATTATTGTGAGAGGGACACGTCACACGCACATATTGTTGTCGTGCACCTCCCAAGTTGTTGTCTCATCTCTTTTCCTTCGCAATGTATACATGTGGAATATAGTGAGAAAAATATATGGGACATCTCAATGAGACATCTCAATGCAACGTCTCTATACGGCTTTGAAATGACAAATAAAATAAATTAAACTGCAAGGCTACCATTTGAAAAAAGCGTGTGTTACTGAATAATTTTCAATTTCCTGGAAATGAATATTTACACATCCAAGCAAATTAATCCCAAATTAATTTCATTAAACGTTAGGGGCTGTTCATAAACTACGTAGACAGTTTAGGGGGAGGGGGTTGTTGGCAATCATTCACGGACCTTAAAAATTTAAATTTTGACGTAGGACTACGTCTGTGATTTCTATATGGGGGTACACTTTGAGAAAACCAAAAATGGAACATGTAACAAAATTATGAAAGATTTTGAACGTTAATAACTCAGCTGTCCTTGGACCAATTTCAATTATTTTATCACCAATCTATTAGAAATATTCCTACGCATCTGTTAAATTTAAAATTTTATCATTTTACAAAAGACCACTATTGAAAATTTTACGAATGTGCTATGTTAATTAAAATTATCACCGATTGCCTGCGAAAAGCGATTTCCCTAACACAGATTTCAAAGTTGAAATCCATCCGGTCTCACCAAATGGTATTTATTAAATCACCATGTGGTGAGTGGTGGTGTTCTCCAGTACACAACGAAAGGCTGCCTGCAATCAGCGAGCAGCAGCCCACATGAGCATCCATAGAAGGAGGAATAAGCCTCACCGCTATTGATCGGAATCAATAGCTCTTCGTGAGTCGCTGTAGGCCATCTATATCAAGCGCGTCATACTAAAGTATATAAACAGCGAGAACCCCGCTCGAATTCCTTTTCCTACACAAAACACAAGCTCTTGCTGCAGTTAACAAATAAGATTTATTATATAAGGCCACGTAGTCCTACGTCACCATTGCGTACAACCCCATAGGGCTGTCCCTTGTAGTTTTTTGTATAAACAATTGTCTATGCAGGGGGGGGGGGGGTAAAGAATCCCAAAAAACTGTCTACATAGTTTATGAACAGCCCCTTAGATAAATCACTGTCACCGTTGAAATTTAACTTTTTTAAATCTGTAGATAATACTTATTTATTACTGCATTAGTTGATGATACATTGACCAGTTGAAATACGCCTTTTTGTAAATTTACTCCGACAGCTTGTTTGTTATTGCCAATCGAATGCTGTTGAGCATAGTGTTTATTTTTTATCACGTATCCGGCATGTGTTTTAAGTTATGTCTTTGAATAGTAACATTAAGGACGAATTTTTTTTTGATATAAATCTTGCTGGAAAAGAAGCTGCTTGCAGAACATGTGGGAAGAAAATAAAAGATCTGAGAAAATTCAGCTACCAGCGGCACTACAGGCTTGTACACAAACCTCTAGCTATCCAACTAGGAATTCTTGAGGAGGACGACACTCAGTCTACGCCCAGGAAGGTCCCAAAAATTGATGTTCGTATCGATCAGTAGATATACATGGAGTCAATGGTTGAGCTAGTCACTGCAAACGGCTTACCATTAAATGTTTTCCGGTATCCGGCATTCCAACGGATCATCCGACCAATTGAGGAAGGTGAGTATTAGTGCTCCACTTAATGAAAGCGTCACACGAGATTACCCTTGGGTAGATAACAATCGCTAATCCACGTATCCACCCCTATTCTGTATTTCGTTCAAAACGAAATTCTCATACAAAAAAAAATTGTTTAGGAATTTCGTTTCGAACGAAATACAGAATAAGGATGATCATCTCGTTTGATGCGAGACTTTCATCCACATTCATGTTTTAGATCAAACCGTATTTTTCTCTTATTTGAAGGTTTAAAGATAAAGCACTTAGACTCGGAGTCCATACACAGTTCGAGTCCATACGAAGTTCGCAAAGGCAAACCAACATATTGAAAAGGTAAGGGAAATTCTCCTCTACCCGATTGTGGTTTAGGTTTGCGAAAGAAGGTTTCGGTTAGCGAGAAAATGGCCTTACAAGGTTGGAGTTAAGGCCATTTCAATTGTTGGTCTTGATATGTTGCAAAGCACATAACACATTGTAGTTTCATTTTTATACCTGTGATTTTGAATTTTTTACCTAGGGGATGAGTACTTAAGAGGGCTAGGTAAAGGGACCGGAAACCCATGTCTAATGCCAGTTTTGAATTCAGTTAGAGAAAAACTGAAAATGCTGTCAAATATTGGATGCCATGTTTTTATATAACCGGAAATGGCGTCAAACATTGATTTCTGGTCCCTAAACGTCACGTTGATTCCAAAAATATACAAATTGTGAGGTATTTGACAGAATATCCAAGCTTTTCTGTAAGCAGAAACCACCATTTTTGATTTCAATATGGCGTCAGATATTCATTTCCGGTCTCTACATGACACTTCTATTCTAAAAATACTCACAGTATTTCCCAGTTCCCAAAATCGAAAAAAAAACTCGTCATTTGGAATTTACTTCATAAAAAAAACTCGTTAATTAGGATTTACTATATTTTGTAAAAAGAGGGACGTAAATTGAATACGGCGAAAAAAAGACTTCCCAAGTAACATTTAAGGTTTTATCATGGGTTTAAAGCATTCTAGAAGTCTAAATCATGGTCTACAGAACTCTTAAAACCCAAATTGTTACTTGGGTTCGTAAACGGAGGTATCAGTGTATATCCGTCGAATATATTGACCATGATATATTGACATAATGAGGAAAAACCACGAGATGAAATTTTTTTCAACATCGGTCTTGTATCTTGCGGATCGGTGTGGTGGTTAGGGATTGAGCTGGGACTTCAACTATTCGGATACATCAGTTTTTTTTTCAATAAAATTACTTTCAGACAAATGAAATACCGTTAAAATGATTTTCAGTATACAGAATATCATGCTTTCTAGTGCCCAATATTGAAATAAAATGAATTGAGAAAACGTTGAGATCATTATCAGGCGGAAAGTAACTATCCGGATATCCGGATAGTGAAATTTCAAATTTATTCTCCCTTTAACTGTTTTCTGTTTTACTTTTCTACATATTTGTAAAAAAGTGGGTTTTTAGGTGACCTGATGTGGAATGGCAGATCTGTTAATTGCCAAAATTTAATAATATTGAAAAATAAAAATATCTGGATAATCTGAGTAACAGCACTGAAGTTAAGGATCGTCCATTAATTATGTCACACTTTTAGGGGGGAGGGATGGTTTTGGAAACTGTGACGAGCCATAAAAAATTAAGGTCCTTACAAAAAATGTGACAAATGGGGAGGGGAGGGGGTTTGAAAATGGGCAAAACTTGCGTGACATAATTTATGGACCTTCTCTTACTTCGTCTAAGAATCAAATACCGCAACTCTAGCGTATTCATCAAATGACAATCATTTTTCGTCCGGTTTTGTTTTCAGTCTCCGTCACAAGTTTAAGGAATCAGCATTCGGGTCACAATGCTTGTTGATATAATAATTAATTAAAAGTTCAATAAATAATTTTATTGCTTACATTTTTCGTAAAATATTTTATTTTTCATTAATTTTTTGATTTTATTTACAAACAACATATCAGTCCCAATCATACTGCTAAACTCTACATTTTCCTAGAATTCGAACGCTTATCTCTAAAACTCGCATGTACTCAATTAACTCACGTCGTGTTTTGATTATCCTCGCACTCGTTCGTTGACACGATCATGGTTGCCTACGTTAAAACAATAATAATAAATAGGGATTTCTCCTAACTACGTTTCAATTTTTGTCCCACCAAATTTACTAGTCAAAACTTAACATACTAAACTCAACTGCACAGCAACGTCGAGGCTATTGGGCGTATGATGGGCGCTAAATTGTTATCGCATTCTTGTTTTGTTGCTGTTCATGCTCCGTTGGATGGCCATGCTTTAGAACACACGGAACGCACGTACCGACGACATACGTAAATCTATGTTTTCGTAAATGTTTCATTCTGCGATGCGTTTTATCATGACTTGTGTTTGACTTGTTTTGTACAGACTATAGGTTGTTTATGCTTTTTCTGAGGTTTACTATAAGGCACCATAGATGGGTTCGGTGTATAGGACGGGGGTCGCACTACCGTAAATTTCCGATCCTGAAATGCGCTGCGACGTTGCCGTTGATCGAATCTGTTTTTTGTACCTGAAATAGCAGTTGTTTGTTATAAAATGTCAAGTAGTGGTGAATGATCAAAGAATTACCTGCTAGCTAGGCAGCACGCAGTCATGGTGGAAGAAAAGGCAGCGAATCCGATCAACCCGGCAAGAATCACCAGCCACGTTCCGGAAGAGGCTATCAGTGCCGCCGTCTGCGGTTTTCGAGAAACCGAGCAGGAATCGATTTTATGAACCGAATACTTCAGGTAGGTTTCTATGAGAACATCTTTCATCTCCTGGCTGTCCATGATTTTCATCATCTCGATCGGAGGAAGGGCCGATCCGTGGCGGGACAGTTGGAAGCAGGAACTTGTTGAAGTGAAATCTAGACTATGATCTGGCTTGGCAAGCACTTGAGCATCGAATATCGACAGTTCCAAGTTGTACTCGGCTAGTCTTGATTGCAGATCGGAAGTAAAGTTTCCGATAATCACGTTGATATCCGACGGAGGTTTGGAGAAGACGAATCGTAGCAGGGATTTGTCACGAATAACGAAGATTCTGAGTTGGTTGTCAGTGATGCGTTCTATGTTGTGAGAATTGTTGGCACTGACGGTCATTTGGAAGAAACCATCCACGTAATCCGCCATTGATCGAGTGGTACGGATCTCCCCAGTAGCGTTGTTAAGATTGAACACTTTCATATAGTTTTCAGTATAATTATCTCTTCTGTAGAATTGTGGAACGAATGCCACGTCTTCAAGGCTGTAGAAAATTGGTGCTGCATTTGGATCCATGTCACGAGCCTTGCATGTCACTATGGTCGTATCGATGGGTACGTTGTGGCGAATACCAATCGTTTGATTTTCCTTTTCGAACTGAGGAGAATGATCATCAATATCTGCTATGTGAATGATAATCCTCTGCTCTGATTTATCGTACTTGTTATAACTCATTACAGTGGGGACAGGATCAATCTTATACTTGAAGCATTTTATAGTGAGACTAACGTGTTCTAGACTTTCGCGATCTAGCGGCCCGGTAGTTGTTATAATGGCAGCATTTGTCTCAGTTCGGGAAATTTTAAACAGTCCCTGTTCGTTTCCGTCGATGAATTCATAGTCTATGGCACCATTATCACCTATATCTTCGTCAACTGCTGAAAGATTACCCACGATCGACCCTGCTGGTTGTTCTTCAAGAACCAACATCTCAATGGGCTGGGCATCGACATCTCTTAGGAATCTAGGCTTATGATCGTCGATATCCAGAACGTTGATCCGCAGGACAATTGTTGACGCTTGTGGAGGTTCACCCATATCGCTCACCTCAATAATTATGTTGTACATTGACTTTGTCTCGCGGTCCAGTGATTTGGTCGTAGTAATAAGTCCCGTTTTGGAGTCGATTCTGAACGATTTAGCATCCTCAATATCAGACTGAATGCGGTACCGCAATGTCCCACTGGGTGTAGCAGGGCTATCTGGATCGCTAGCGACAACCTGAAATACTGGTGCACCGATCGTTGCATTCTGTCGAGAGAAGAAAGACGCTCATCAATTACATGTCAAAACAGTTGTTTGTTCCCCTCTTATACTCTTGTGCTTCGTCCCACATGGCCAGTGACTATAGGACAATCAATCAAAATTTTCTTCTATTGACTTTGCACAATCCGGGTTGTCAAGTCCCTGACACTTTCAAGCGCCATATGAGTGTGCACTTTATCATCGTTACGGCAAAGTGAACTTACCTCGGTCACGTTGGCTATTTGTCCCACTTTCGGTGCAATGAAGAAGGGAATCCCATCGTTCGCACTAATGTCACCGATGTAGAGCGTGAAGGTGACGTCACTGTACAGGGAACGCTGCTTCGGCAGTTGACTCCCGTTGTCCTGGGCACGGACGACCATCTCGTACGGATCCGAACGTCCTTTGCCGGTGAGGAGGACTTTGGATTTGATTTCACCCGTTTTTGGGTTGATATGAAGGAGACCTGGTGGAGGAGATGATGTTATAATAAGTGTTATTTCAGAGGAGTTTACATTTCATTTGGATTATTATTCTGGAATTCAGTTTAAATTTAGGGATGCAGTTGTACTTTTCCGGTCCCGAAGACATTCCGTATTGTTGGATTATTTTTTCAAAATTCCATATTCAATTTTTGACTGAGTTAGCACCGATCAATAGTATGATTTTTGATTGCAGTTGAATGTACAGGGTGATTCGATTATACAAAAATGCAATTCTCAATGGGTAAAATGGGTATATGTTCAAGTATTTTTCTTTTAAAGTGTGTACAAATATCAGTTTGTATTGATGGTGTAATTTTGTAGCTCTTCAAGATTGATTCACTGCAAAATGGTTGTATGATAAACGCAATGAGAACCATTTCAAAACCGTATTCAAGCCACAATAAAAGCTATTTAGCAACAAATAAAACCATTATTCGAGTCATTTACCCTAGCCGCTTGCTAATTCCACTAGAAAAACATCAATCAAGATAAAAGAGGATTCATAGATACCATCGGATCTTATCAAGATAATTAAAATAAAAACTAATTGCATAAAAATCCTGTAGATTTCCAAAATTAAAAAAAAAATTGTTCACATGAAGTGGCCCAGTTTAAGGTGCCATATAAAATTTGATTTGAAATGTGCGTGAAAACATCGAAAAACTTGAGTCCGCCCACGGGAAACATCGATATTACGAATTATTTTACATTTAAAAAAAAAATCTTCGATCGACCACTAAGCTAAACCGAGATTTTGGTTTTTCATGATTTTTGCATTCTAAATATTTTCTCATTGCTAAATTTACTAAGATTAAGTTATATCTGAGGAAATATAGATTGAAAATCGAAGCTTGTAAAAAAGAACAAAATTATTGAATTATGGCAAAGGCAAGGGCCATTTGTGAAAAAGTTATTTTGCTTTCAAGAAATCCTTAACAAATTCATAAGGTTTTGAAATGGCTTTTATGGACAAAATTTGTAGACTGAATTGTATTTATCTAAAGCCATTTTGCTTGATCCTAACACGTTCAGATTTATGGCAGCATTTATGGCGGCAATGTTGCCTACAAAATGTTAAACGTCAAAGTTTGTTTATCTTTCGATAGTTGCGCTGTGTGATCCAACGTTCTTCCAGACGATTCACTCCCGATGGCTTGGAAGCAGTTACTCAGAAAGTGTGCGATACTGCTTTACAACATTTCGCATTTCGCACAGCTGCATCCTCATTAATTCCCGAAAAAGATTCCCTTCTTCCTGATGGTTCTGGAAGTGCACCATCAAACGATACAGGAATGTACGGTTGAATGAAATTTTTCGAAGAGATGACCCTTTCGCCGAATAAAATTGCTGCTATGGATCGGAAACTAACTAGTGTCCGTTAAAGGACAGTTTCAGTGGTTTGCTGTCGGTACTGACGCAAGTTATTCCAATCGTCATCTATTCGCAAGGTCTGGAGAAGGCTGGTCTGTTTTGACAATGTTTCATGAATTTGAAGATCACGCTCACTTCACTCTTCTCCACCAGATGCTCAGTCGTTGATGGTACCCGTTCAGCCGGACGTGCTGGTTCTTCTAAAGAACTAAATTTTACTGAAATCAACTTCCCTTCGGTCGTTAGCATCGCTTGAATTTTTCATCCTAATTCGTTTTCTTCGAGATATCATAGTCATAAATTTGGCTTTTATTCACTATGAGGATCCATCTTTAAACTTCAATTTGTAAACAGAGGAGATTTTATGATACAATTTAAAAAAAAAACCTAAAAGGCAACAATATATATGCTTTTTGCTCTCATTTAAAACCTAATGGTTTTATGGTTGCTTTTATAATGATAGAACACGTTTATAGAGTATTTTATCAAGACATTAATAAAAAATCGCTAACGAAATTTATGATTGATTTATAGAACAGTTTTATCATAGAGGTAACTCTAAGACCAGCAAGCCCCGAAGAAACGAGCTCAACTTTTTGGCTTAGCTCTAGTACTATCTTCGGTCCCAAGCTAATCGATGCACCCCTCGAAAAATAGGAAAATCCACGAACCCCTCATTTTATCTGTCAAACTTTCATAGCGAATCAAAACAAACATAGTGTAGTACTAGAATATCGACTAGAATGGAGGGTATTAATCGATTTGCTTGGGACCAATAGGCTAGTCAATTAGTGAACCAATTTTAAATCGTTAGTTTCCACCGGTTGGTTTTATGGTGGGATTAAGAGTTACATTAAATTTAATTTTAAAACAAGACAGTTTTGTCTTCTCGCCATACTGTAAAAGGTTTTTAAAACAGCGAAAAGGTGAACTACTAAGCACTACTAAGCTTCAGAAAAACTGCAAGAACTTTTAACAAGTTCTGAAATTTCAAAAAGTTCAGAATTTTGGGTATGTTTAAAGATGTGTAAGGGTAAGTTCCGATAAATTAAAGACAGTTCATTAACTTTAGTTAAAATTCGAGAGCCCGGAAATTTCAGGAAAGTCCAGAGAACTTTAGTGAACTTCATGAATGAAACATCAGAAATATTTTGGAATATTCACAAGTTCAATGAATGGCAGGGAAATTTAATGGCGTTCAGGACATTTCCATTTGTCACAGGAGGATTGAGATAACTTTAGAGAAGCTCTGAGAACATCAGGATAGATCAATTAATTTCAAGGAAATTTCTGATTTTCGAAAACTTCAGGAAAGTTCCGAGAGGTTCATGCAAGTTTTGGAAACGTCAGGGAAGTTCCATGCTTTTTAATGACAGCTTCGATGAAATTTAATAGTAAAAAAAAAATAAGGATGATCACAAAACTTTAATGCTGTTCCGATTTCTTTAAGAAAGTCTAGAGATTTTCAAAGAAGATTAGAGATTTTCTGGAAGTTTCATTATAATCAGGAAAGTTCCGAGTACTTCGATCATTATCAGAGAACTTTAAAACAGCCTCATTAACTGCACGACAATTGCAAGAACTTCCAAGGACTTCCGAAGAATTATGGGATATTCCGAAGTGCATTTCAGGAATGTTCCGAAAACTTCAGGGGCATTGTGGGGTTTTCAGGGATGTTTATAAATATTAAGACAATTGCTGGATCATTTGAACATGTAAAGTACTTCAAAGAATATTGTGCTATCATTCTCCAGAAATCTGAAAGAATCCGGAGTTTATTCTCCAACTTCTCCTTGAAGTTACTTTCGGCTGCTCCGTTAGCTCTTTGGCCTCCGACATTCTCCAGTAGATTCATCCAGCGTCACCTGGAAGTTTCTTCCGTGACTTCCAGGAAGTTCAATTAATGTTCTAATGGATGTATGTGTCGAATTCTCCCACATGATTCTTACGGCTTCCTCGGGAAGTTTCTCCACAAGCCATTCTCCGTAGTTTTTTTTGAATGGCTACTCCAGGAATTCGTTTCCCTTTTCCAAAACATTTCAGGCTTCCTTTCACTTTTCTGAAAGTTTCGTCAAATTTTTGCCATAAGTTTCTCAATATTTGTCTGGGAAATAAACTGGATGTTATTCCGACTATTCTTAGAACTGTCTTCAAACTTCCTCCAGGAGAGCTTCAGTATTCTGTTTGTGGAAATTTTTTCGGCTTCTTTAAGAAGCTAATTCAAATATTCCCCGGTAATTTCTTCCGATTTATCATGAAAAGTAAATTTTCCATTTTTAGTCAAAAAGTATAAATTTTTGCCTAAAAAAACGGCAAATATAAATATCAAATTCATTAAAATAGTGCATACCGAGAAATACCGATTTTTTTTAAAGCATTTGATACCAACAAGATTGATATTAATCAGGAAACGCACTATTTTGAGACGCTATTGAATAGAAAAGGTAAAAGAGCATGAAGAAACAGAAAAAAATACATTGGAGACGATCGACGAGCTGCCAAGTCTCCAGTGCTAGACGAGGTTTTTAACCTTGTGCAATACGTGAGCAACTTCATCAACTTTTCAACTGAAGATCAATTTTATGGGATCATCAAATAAAATGATGCTTGCATTTTCTTTTGGGAAAATTAACTGAAAGATGCATACTCTTAAAACCAAACGTTGATACATATACACACTTGGCATCTTGTAAATCCAGCAGTGCTCATAACTTAAAACATAGTACGCAACTATTACGTCTCAAGAGACGACAGAGTACTCACCATTTGCCTCTCCTTCATTGAGAAAATCATACCGCACTTCCCCACCAGGTCCTTCATCCGGATCGTTGGCCGTAATTGCAATCACGAACGTATCCGCCAGCACATTCTCCGGTATGACCGCTGTGTATGACTTTTGTCCGAAAACAGGCGCATTATCGTTCACATCCAGAACATCGAGTATCACTTCGCTGTACCCCCGCTTGGCATCGCTGGCCTTCCCGGGTGAATCCTCCGCAGTGATCACCAGTTTTAGTACGGATTGCTTCTCCCGATCCAATGATTGACCTTTCGCTATACTTACTACACCGGATTTATTATCAATCATGAACAAATTGGCATGGGATCCGGCCAAACTGTACCAAACGGAATTGTATCCCAACAGTTTATCCTTTTCCGTTAAGACAGCGTCTCCATCCGTTGCCTTGACGGTGATAACTTGATGGGGATAATGATCCGACTCCATGACCGTTACCCGATAAGTTTCCTTCTCAAATACCGGTGCATTGTCATTGACGTTTTCAATCGTCATATTAATGTAAGCAAGCGACTGTCTCTTTCGATTACTCGTCATAGCTCGAACGACGAAATTAATATGAGTCTTATTAGCCGTCTCGTAGTCCAATCGCTTGTTCAGAATGATGTCACCTGTTTTCTCGTTCAAACTAAAGTACCCATCAACGTCAGCCATAACCATTTCAAAATGTACGATCGGAATATCTGCCACTGGATCGTTTGCTTCGAGTTTCATCACAACGCTTCCGATCGGGGATTCTTCTTTGACTTTAACCTCAATCGTAGGTCTAACCGTATTCCAGCCTTTGTTTTTGAAAACGGGGTTGATGTCCTTAAACGATTGGATAAAGAGGGTCACCTCAGCTCGATCCTGCTGCATGTCAACATTGTATTCGGCGTTGACGTCCACCGCTCGAACCGTTAGCGTTATGACGGCTGCGTAGTTATAATCCAGTGTACTGTTCACGTAGATCACTCCTTCGTCTTCGCTAATCCGGAAGGCGGTCTTAAAGTCGTACGATGAAGTCGTATGGAGCGGAATTCCTGCCTTTGTTTTTGCGGTGATTGGATCGACGATCGAGTATAGAATTCGGGCATTGACATCCGTATCCGTTGCGGTCACTTGCAGCACTTCGGTATCGATGTTGCTACGTTCAGAAACATAGGCAGTGTAGGATTGCTTAGTAAACTTTGGTGGCTTGTCGTTGACGTCTTGGATTTTAACGTACACGGTGGTGGTTGCCGTTTCTGGGATCGGAAAGCCAGCGTCAACCGCGTTGACGACGATGGAGTAGCTTTCAGGGTTGGAATCACGATCGAGCCGAGCGTCTCGTGCAACTTTGATTTGACCGGTTCTGAAATGAAAAGAACGTGTGTTGAATTAGTGAAATAGAAATGTAATCATAAAATACTAACTGGTCATTTATCTCAAAGTTGTCACTTGCTCCAACGATTTTGTACATCAGAAGGTCATCAATACCATCTGGATCCGTTGCACTGACATTGGTTACGTAATAGCCTGCAGGAGCATTTTCCGGAATACTAACTCGGTAGCTTGGTGGTCCGGGGATATCGTTCTTTCCATTCATGAACAAGCCCTTGAATATCGGTCGTTGATTTCCGGAGATTCCAACTCTGACCAGCACCCTAGTGTTATTCTTCAAAGGAGGTACTCCATGATCCGTTGCGACCAATATCAACTCGTACTGTCCTCGTTTGGTGTCCATTGAGTTAACTGGACGGGTTATCTTGATCTCCCCACTGTTCGGGTCTACCGTGAATACGTGTCCGGAAATGCTATTTTCGGATTCAATTGAATAAGTGACTTTTCCGCCACCCTGTTGAGGACCATCAAGATCCGTAGCGTGGACGAAGAATTGCGGTTCAAAATCAGTTGCACCTTCCCGAATAGTTCGAGTGTACTCTAACCACTCGAAAGCTGGATAATTATCGTTGACATCCATAATGTCAATCAATAGATTTGCATTGGTTTCCCGTTTACCGCCATCAGTTGCGACCAGCGCCAGACTGTAACTTTTTTGCTCTTCATAGTCCAAATTGAGATTCACATACACTCCACCCTTTTCCGGGTCAGTATAGAAATACTCCGCTCCGAAACCTTTCACCGAATACGTGAGTTTACCAAACATGCCGGTGTCATGATCCATCGCAACGATATCTGCTATCTTGTAGCCTTTTGGAGAGTTTTCTTTGACCTGGAGCTTGTAATTGGTATGAGGAAAAATTGGGGAGTTATCATTGGCATCCTGTAAGTGCACGGTCACCGTAGTCTTGGACTTTTCCTCTCCATTGACTGATGCAACAATGTCAAATATGAAGGTCCTCATGTCGCCATCGGCTACATCATAGTCTAGCTTTGATGGATCTACAACTTTCACCACAATGGGAGTTCTTCCTTCACCATGCGTTGGAGAAACGGTGAACACTCCTTCCGAGTTGTGGATGTTCCTCAGGGACAGTGAGTATCGGCTGTTTACTCCAAGATCCATATCGGTAACAATGATGACTAGATCCGGTAGCGGTGTGTAGTGTTCGAGATTTTCCGGAATGGAGACTTCGAATGAAGGCTTATTGAACACGGGAATATGATCATCGACGTCCGTCAGGACGATTGTGATTTGGGAGCTGGTAAAATCTCCAGGAACTTCGTTGTTGATCAGTTCGGTGGCACGGACAGAAAATGTGTAAGCTCCTCCATTTTTGGTGATTTTTGGATTTTCACGATCCAGTAAGCGTTCAGTTGTTACCAGTTCTGCTATTCCTGTACGAGGACCTCCAACAAATCTCAGCCTGAAATGTCCCATTGATTCGTTTTCGAGTGTTAGAACGATGGGCCGGGGACTTCCAGTGTCTCCATCCGTAGCGTTTATCGTAAGAACTACCGTCCCTTCAGGGGTATTTTCAGGAATTGACGCTGAGTAGGGTGCGTTGATAAATACAGGCGGTTGATCCTGAACGTCTATAATTGTGATGGCTACGGTGGCATACGATTTGAGGGGATTTGAAACAGCTCCATCCTTGGCCTGAATGGTCAGGATATAGGACGGCCTGGTTTCAAAATCTAAGGTCTTTTTCAATACAATCGACGCAGTATACTTTCCCTGCGCAATCTTCTCAGTCTTTACTTCAAATACCTCGCAGATGTCGTCGTTTTCTTTCGTGGGATCCAGATAGCAAGAAAGTTTCACATCTGCATTCATACCCTCGTCAAGATCGGTGACAATTATATCCGGACTAATCTTGACTGTGCTTCCCGGTTTGGTGGACTCGCTCATTGATGCGCTGTACGGTCGTCCGATGAACGTTGGCGCATTGTCGTTGTAGTCGCGTATAGGAATTTCACGCCTGAGCGAGATGGTGTTCGGTTCGGTGCCAAGCAAGCCTTCGTCTGTATGGGAAGAAAAGATAGACACATGCAGAGAGGACAGAAACAGAAAAATTGCAAATTAACGATTGTGAAAGCGTTTTAGTAACAGCATGTCGAACCGGTATACAAGGTGATGTAAGGCGATTTGCTTCGGTAATTAATTGCAAACATCTAAAGCGTTTACTTCGACATGAGTTTAACCAGTTCATCGGACGATTAAGTCTCTAAGTCAGCGATCATATGACGTCGATTTTTGCATACCTGTTATGCTGATGATTACTTCCACGCTATCCTGCAGCTCTCGATCAAGAGATTGCCGTAATCGCACCACGCCGCTGTCACGATCGACGCTGAAAACTGGTCCGGATATACTGTACCGCAGCTTACTTCCCTCAGGGTCAATGCCTGCAAAAAGGGGAAAGGTGAAAGATGTCAGTTTTCAGGGAACTTCAGCGAATAGGAGAAAAAGGCAAACGGCTAGTAACCTAACGGATGATGAATTTAAAGTCATAATTTAATCTCGACATCCATTACTAAACTGCAAGTCATAAACAACTTTTACAATTTGGCGTCCAAATAAAAACAACCGCTCGTCGTGTACGGTTTTGTCCAACGGGTCATGCAGTGAAAAATGGGGACCAGCCACGTCGAAGCCGGCCAAGAATGCTAATACGAGCATTTATTTCGCCATCATTACTTCTGTTTGCTGGTCGCGCGTGAAGATGCCACATACCAACCAACCGATGATGACGGTCGAGAGACCAACTTGGTCAGGTGGCTATGGCTCAGCTCAGTATAGTACTAATGTTGCTCACGATTTATGGTCAACCGGGTGATGAATTTCAAAACGACCCGTTTGATCCACTGAATGGTGAACGTGCAAGGGAATTTTGTACTCTTGTGGGCTGTTTTCCTTCTTTCCGCGAGACAGTGGCGGTAATCATGAGAAATGGGACAACTTTCGCATACAATGGAGCTACCGGTTCATTTAGTAGCGAGGAACGTCTTCTGAGGGAGATCTGACTTAGAGCATCATGTGTCTGCGTGTATGGTTGAAAGTGGGTTACTTTTAGTGAATGCATTTCCCATTAGAGGATTTTTGAAACATAGGGGCCGTGCACTAACTACGGAAGGGAAAAGAGGGAGGGGGGTTGATCACTTCTTACGTAATATTTCTCCAAAGAATTAAAAAGTTGTATTTTTTATGATGGTAAGTTGTCTACATATAAGTTATCAGCCCTGCATCAATTTCGATCCTACTTGAACAGCTGCGATAAAAATGATTAAACAAATTTCACGGCTGTTACATCTGGTAGGTATTTTGCGTTCTACACGGTAAGAAAAAAGTACCCAACGGCCAGTTCACTTTTACCTACTATTGACTAGTTTGTCTCCTTTTCTCCTTCTAATGTTGTCAAAAACGGTTGCTCCACCCAACAGGGGTAGTAAAGTGTGGGAACCCAACGTTGAGTATAATCACATATACCTACTTTTGGGTACAACTAACTTACTCTTGGGTAGAAAGCGAGTGGAAAATTCCATACGAATTGCACACAAGTAAATACAAACTACTTTGACACGCTTTACCTACTTTTGGGTTCCTGCACTATAGTGCCGAGATGAGTGAAAAGAACCTACTTTTGAGTACTGTTTTCTTACCGTGTACGTTGAATTCGCGTTTGATGCGGATTTCACGGAAAGCTTATCAAAAAATGTGCAGCCATGTTTATAGCTATTTTTTTTAAGTCTACAGTATTTCTGTAACTGATGCGGATAGATTTTCATTCAAGCTTCAAGCAACTATTAATAGATATTATCAGCAACTTTTTCGAGAAATTTACTGCCTGAAAACAAAATCATGTAACTGGAGGTATTTTGAAATTAGCTTTATAAAAATTGCATGTTTTGTTTTGTCTAAGCCTGGGAAGGTAGAAGCAGATATTGCACACACGGAATTTAATTTGTAGCTTGTCTTCTTTTCATGAAAATTTGTGCGATTGAAATCAAATCAAAATAAGCGTAGCAAAATAGCCTGTTTTGCTTTGAGGGTGTAGTGGTTGTTTGAGATTGTTCAGTGTGCAGTGAGAAAATGTACTTTTCTGTTCTGTATTTTATTATGCCACTAAATATTTTGAGAAAAAAAACTTAATTAATGGTATCTTTCAATGTTGATTTGTGTATATTAAATGAATGGATTAAAAAAAAACGATGTCCCATTGAATAAGATAGCTATAAAGCAAAAAAAAGGTAATATCGATCAATTTAATTCAAGCTGATGTATGAAATAATGATGTAATAGGAAAAAGCAGATACAATATTACATCAATGGATGTAATTTTGTTCGCAAAATCGATGTACATCGTACAACGTTATATTACACAACCGATGGATTAACCTGGTTGCAGCAGATTTTAATGTAATATTCAACAACTTTTTTTTCTGTGTAGAAACGACAGTTTGTCATAAATTACTTTACGCAAGATTACAATACCGCCTTGTATATTCTTGTTCATCTGTACGAAAAGCATCATCAAACTGCTTGGCTCCCAATGACGGTTCGTGACAGCTTGATTCTGGCTGGGATGGGACTTGACAATCGGGTAGCGATTTCGAGCCAATTTGCTGTCAAATCCGAGCCAGTTTCTGCTTGGTCGATTTGACAGTAGCAATCGTAGAATAAAAAGAACAGAGGGATTGCATCAATCAGGCTGGCAGTGATGCCAGAATCAATGTAGACGTCAATGGCGTTGTTAATTGTTAACATTTGCGAAAGGAAAGTTGAAAAATTGAGTGCACTGCGTGTTTTAAGCAATGGACATTGTTATTTCTTTATGGTTGTTTTTATTGTGTTGAGCAAAAATGATGTACAAGCTGCTAAACTGCGGTAGAATCTCCGAATAAAATCCAAATTTAAATAGAAAAAAAATACTTTCCCGGCAACATTGGTCAACTTCGGTAAATACCACGCACAACTTTCTGAAGGGCATTCTTCAAAAACATTAAGAAGAGTGAGAAGCTCGGTTGTCAAGTCCCGTTCCGGGATTCTGGGTCCTTTTGACGTTCATATTTTTCGAGTCTGCTTCTCCCTCACACGTTTAAGTAGGGTTAATTACTTAATCTAGCGCAGTTTAGCACCAAACGAAATGTTATTATTACTGATGGCTTCCAAATTTATTTACCTTTCCGTATGTACCGTAAGATTTGATAAAAAGAAACCAACCGTTGAGATATTGTCAAAAGTCTAACACTGCTTCTTGACACCAAACTCGGCCTACGGATTCTAAACTCGGCCTAACGCTTTGAAACGCCATTGAAACGCCAATGAATTCACATCGGCCTATCGGATGAAGATAAAACGTGAATCGTTCGGAGCGCTTCTTTTGTTTTTGGGAATAATGGGTGCAAACCTTCATATCACGCGTTCTCATTGACTTCGTGCCGTAGCTTAAAAACTAAAGTATCGTACCAAACGCACAATTGACTTGTTAACTCTGAAATCAAGGATTTATTTGAAGTTTTCTGCTCGATAGGCCCAAAATGGGCTATTAAGCCGAAGTAGTTCTCTACCCTAGTCTTCAAGAAAAGTGCCGCACGGTGTGTTTTAAAGTGAACTTTATTTTAAAAAAAAAATCGGCTAGTCTGATATTTTATCTCATGCAAGTAGAGGCCTTTCCCTATTTTGACAACTCTTGATTTTATTTAGTTTTTCGAAACCTGAGAACTCAATTGACGACGACGATTTTGGGCGGTCGGAGCCGGAAAGCGACAGCGGTCAAGAAAGTGATGGACGCTTTGTGCTAGTCACGACTGTCGGATCTTCGGAATCGAAAGGCGCTAAGCGACGAACAGACGAAGAACACCAACTGAATATGAAAGCCATAAAGCAGCTGTACAACCCGCCGACGGTAGAGGAAATCAATCGGTTGAAGGAAACGGAATATTTCTACCACTCGAATCTGTGTCGGCTGCTATTTCCGGAAGTTTTTGTGGGCGGTAAAAGATGCGGACAATGAACGATTTTCTGCTGGTATTTTCCGACGGCTCGCATGTTCTCGCCAAGGAAAGCTTCAAATTCTTTCAGCAACGGATCATGCACCATATTGGATCCAGTCGTTTCTTCTTCTTCTTCTTCTTATTCTTCTTCTTCTTCTTCGCATTTCAAGCTTATTGCTTAGTACGTATTAGCTTATTGTGTGCTCTCAACTTAGTGTTCTAGATGCACTTCCATAGTTATTAATTGAGAGCTTTCGATGCCGTTGTCGCAGGTGACCTAAAAATCATCAATCTTTTGCTAGGTATTATGGGTCACAGTTCAACTTATCTTTATCTATATTGCTGCACAAGTAAGTCCATTCTTTCTTAAGATAGCAACGCTGGACTTAATAAACACAAGTTACGTAAAATGGAAGACTGATGGTGCTGATGATAAACGAGCAAGTTGTTGATCCAACAACTGCTGAACAGTGGGTGAAGCTAAGTTCATGTCAAAGTCATAGCAAGTATGACTTTACAGATAGAAAATGCCACAAATTACTGGAGAAGAGGACTTTGTTGAAATCTGATGGACAGCTCAGTATTTTCAGAAATTCAATTTTACTCTTCTCTTATTATAATTAACTTAATTAAGCGACTATTTGTCTGATTCCACCATTATGATAAAATGTAAAATTAACAAAAATGAGTAACTGTTAGTCTTATTCTTCTTCTTCTTTGAATTTCAAGCTTATTGCGTATCGCATATTACCTTGATTCGTGCTCTCGAACCTAGTGTTCTAGATGCACTTTCACAGTTATTAATTGATAGCTTTCGATTCCTGTACCATTTTTGCATTAGTATAATTGCGTGGCAAGTCCAATCATACTCTATGTCCAGGGAAGTCGAGAAATTTTCCAACTTGAAAATTTCTAGACAAGGCCGGTAATCAAACCCAGTCACCTCCAGCGTGGCCTTGCTAATTCTGTGAAAAACATAACTGGGTAACAGCTACTCTAAATTTGACATATACATACATACATTACTCAATAAAGAGTTACAGCATAATTACACTCATTAGGATAGTTCCACTTTTAACAAAACGGATTCGTTTTGAACTCAGTTTAGAGCAACTTTAAACGAGTGTGCTTGAAACATGTAGTAGTTTTCCGTATATTATTTTTTCATCAACATTTCAAAAGTGTGAAACTGCTTTTGTAAACCATAGCGTTGGCCAACGCGAATAAAAGCTTACTTTTGCAATCATCCACCCTCTTCCAGTTGGTATGGTTAGTTTACCTGAATGAGGTATAAATTACGAGAAATCGGTGGATGAAGTAATGGTTTACAAAAGAAGTTTCACCCTGATGAAATGTTGGCATCGATTTGTCCTTCATGCTGTGTTTTATTTCGAGGATACCAACAGACCAAG